AAAGTATTTTAACTAGCATTCTTTCATATCATAAATTTCAGGATCATTACACCAGTCAAAGGAAAAACAAAATTGACACCAACTAAATTCCAACAACTACGACTGTAAACCCTATGATCAGACTTAGAGACGGTCACCCCTGAAGGTAAAGTATGACAGTTGAAAATTGAAATGCCAATTTTTTTGCTATAAATGAAATGCCAAATCATTAAGTACGTGATAATACTAAGTACTACATACTCGTATATTGTTTTCTCAAATCCATAGATTTTTTTATAAATTAATTAATTCTATTGATTTTTAAATCTCTCAAAAAGTTCATACACTTCCAAAAAGTTGAGGACTTTTAAATTCGAAACGTCACTATCGGGTAAGAATTTTCAATTGCCGCTACCGGTATGCCTGCCCACCTTTGTCACCGGTGCTCGCCGTCATTTTCATCGGACTGATCCGGCTTTCAGCTAATAATAGGCGGAAATATTATACATTCAATCAATAATTTTAAAATTAGAACTATTCGGATGTTAAGCTTATGTTGACTTGAACAGAAAAGAATAAACTAAAATGAAATGTTCATAGGATAAGCGTTTGACTTCAGCCGACCTGTTTATTCCCATTTTAGCCTCGCGTATATATATATATATTCCTATTTTCCTCTTTTGTGATGTTCATACCTTCGATGCTTCATGGCTATCGAGAAGGGAAGCGGTCAAGCGGTGGAAAAATGACACATGGCGGAAGCAGTCAGTTCAAACAAAAATGTTATTTGTACCCATTTCTATATCCACTTTACACCCACTATCAATACCCAAAAAAATATCTCACTTATCTCTCCTCCTCCTCCCTCCCTTCTATGACACCTTTTCTCTTCTCACTTCCGCCTCCCTTCTTCAGTTCTTCTACTCCATTTCCTTTCAAAATCTTCCACTAAACCTAATCTGAGGAAAATAATAGGAGTTTCTTTGTCTTACTCTCACAACTTTAAATGTTGAGGTGATATTTTACAAATATTTTGATTTTGGTTTTAGGATTATACTTTTTCCCTTTTTCAGATTTTTTATGTATCTTGTTATGTTGAAAGCAAAGATTTTAGTGTGATGTTGAATGTATGATAATTTTGTTTCATTGTTATGGGTTGGTGCTGTTAATTCTTGAAATTTTAGTCAAACTAATTATTTCTTTTTTACGCCCATGACATGTTTGTTTAAATGCTTCACTAATATTTTAATGAATGTTTCTTGAAGTTCCAATTATATAGTTGTTTTACATATATGTTGTTTGTCATCATGAAATTGCATATTTTATTCATGTGAATTTCTAAGATGAACTGTTTTTTGAATTATTATGTAAACTGAAATGTATATTTATAGTTCATAATTTATTTGAGGTAAAATGGTTAAATATGATGAAGGAGAAGGTTAGAACTTCTCACTCCGTGTGCTCATTTATTTTGTTTGTGCGTATAAAATATTTGTTTGTGTGTTCATTTATATGTTATGATGTTGATGTGATTGTTTTTTGTAAAATGGGTAAAGTCCAGAATGAGTTAGTATTACCTTGAGCTTGAACCTATATGTATTATAATATTTGAAAGATATTAATGATTTATTTGCCTTTCTTCTTTACATGTTGTAGGGTATGTTCACATTTTTTCTCTAGTGTTGGGCTTTAAAAGATTTGAATGACTTAGTTGGAATGTATGGGTGGCCTGAAATTGCATTATTCGTGCTATTAAGATTGGCAGTCTATAAATATATATTAGTTTCATATATCTGCTTGGCTTTTAATTTGATGTTTTCTTCAAATGAGTTCATTCATTTCAGTTGTGTTCATTCATCAAAAGTGTTTATTCATTTAATAGAAAATTAATGTTTGTCATTGAATTTAATTGCTTTTAGCAGGTGCTTGAGAAACATGAAATTATATGCTTTTAACAGGTGTTTAACAGCATGACAGACTTGAGAGCTCTTACTATGACAAATATCTATAAGGAAGTTTGTGCTAAAAGTTACAACCATCAGAAAATGCTATAAAAAAACGAGTGATCAACTGAAGATTTGAAAAGTGCTATAAAGACTTGCTTTGTTGGATGAATATACTATTTAGAAAGACCTCTGACTTGTTGGGAAATACAATGGCATAGCGTAAAAGTGTAGTATTTTGTAATTTATATAATTGGTGCTGTTTTAGAATCTTTTGTATAACAATCTCAGTGATTAATGAAAAGATTTATATATTTTGTTATTTATCAATATTCATAGGCAATAGCCATTGAAATGGCTAATATATTTAAGTGGAATTGTCAATGAACTAGATATGAAGTGTCTGGTCACATACAATAGCCACTAGAGTGAGTTATAATATGATAAGTGAAAATGTTTGTGAACCAAATATGAATTGTCCGGTTACATGTCATAGTCACTTAAAAAAGCTAATAAGTTGAAAGGAATTGTATTTGAACCAAACATAAAGTGACTTCTCCTAATTGTCTATGTCAAGTAAAATTGTGAGAAATTGTCTGAGTTCATTTATATTGTATAGAAAACATTGTTGCGTATTCATTTTTTTTGTGCATAGAAAATTATTGTCTGTGTGTTCGTTTATATTGTCTGTGCATAGAAAGTAATTGTCTATGTGTTCATTTATATAGTCTGTGTGTGATTTAAACATTTTGTGTGTGTGTTTATTTTGTCCATGCGTAGAGAATAAATGTTTGTGCATTCATGTATATTGTCTGTGCGTTTATTTAAACATCTATTCGTTGATTTTGTCTGTGGGATGTGCATAAAATAATTGTTTTTGTTTTTGTTTATATTATCTGTGCCACACAACAAACTTACCTAAGATTAATAATTTTTTTTTGTGAGCATCATAGACATCCTATTTTTATGGGAACCACCCTCTCAATCTAAAAAGAATTAGACTACTTACACTCGGATTAATACAAAAGATAAACTTTGAAAACACAAGCAACTCCAATTGCACTATCATTGTAAATACAATAACACTAATTTCACAATATAACTAATTACAAAAATTAATAGCACGACATTGCATTTATCCTCTTATCCCCTCTACAAGTTGAGATGAAGCAACCAAAAATGATTTCTGCAACATAAAATGAACAACATAACATGCATTGGATGATATCAACACGAGTAATTCTAGTTTCAAACCATTCATAGATGCCAACATAGATTCAAGCTCAAGGTAATACTAACTCATTCTGTACTTTACCCATTTACAAAAAAAGATCACATCAACATCATAACACATAAACGAACACACAGATAAATATTTTATACGCACAGAAAAAATAAATGAACACATAAACAATATGTTAACCATGCACAGACAAGATAAATAAACACAGTGAGAAGTTCCAACCTTCTCCTTCAGCATATTTTACCATTTCACCCCAAATAAATTATGAACTATAAATATATATTTCTGTTTACAATATAATTCAAAAAACATGTTCATCTTAGAAATTCACATGAATAAAATATGCAATTTGATGATGACAAACAACATATATAAAACAACCATATAATTGCAACTTCAAGAAATTAAACATTCATTAAAATTTTATTGAAGCATTTAAACAAAACATGTGATGTGTTTAAAAGAAGAAATAAATTAGTATGACTAAAATTTTAAGAATTAACATCACCAGCTCATAATAAACAAGTAAAATAATCATACATTCAACATCACACTAAAATCTTTGCTTTCAACATAACAAGATACATAAATAATCTTTAAAAGGGAAAAAAGTATAATCCTAAAAACAAAAATCCAAGTAAAATATTACCTCAACTTTCAAACTTGTGAGGCTAAGGGAAACAAAGTCCAATAACTTGTGGAAGATTTTGAAAAAGAAGAAAAGAAAAAGAGGAACAAATGGCGTGGAAAGGGGGGGAGGCGTTGAATGTTGTCCGGTACACACTAATATATCGATAGAATATTAACATATTTTAGAACCAATTGCCACTTTAAGTTAATTGATTGAATTAACACATAGAAATTTCTATCAATATCAAGTGTATATTTCAAATTTTGAGGACCATTTTATCTTTTATTTACTTGATTTATTTTTCATTTTGTTTTACTCCTCATTTTTTATTTATCAAATAAAAAAAATTCAGTTTTTACTTTTGTTGATAGAAATTTAAACCATTAATGTTCAATTTGCACTCCTCAAGGGATTGACCCTTGAATACTCTAGGTCGTAGGAATTACTACGAATGATCTGTACACTTGCAGAATTTAGCGGTTACACACCTATAATGTTGAAATTCCCTAACATCTTGATCTGCTCATATCTAGGTCGAGCAATTCTTTATATTTTTCCACAGAAACTCATCTAGTCGGCAGGGTAACTTTTGTTCGAGCTTTGATGTGAAAGGTCTTAAGAACAATAAGCCATGATAAAATCAAACTATATACTAAGGGGTTGTTTACTTCCAACTTAATGGACAGAATGAGAATAATGACTTAATCGTTTAGTCATGTTTACTTATTAATCATTCACTCAAAAACTGAATTAATCATTAAGCTGGAAACTAATAGTCCTTCCCATTAAGACGTATATCAAGACGTCTTTGCTATCAAATTTTAATTCTATTGTTGAATAGATTTATATAAACAAATGAAATATCTCATTGACATTATAATTCAAGAATAATACTAAATTTATAACTAGTCAATTAAAACCATTTATTAGCACACAATACAAAATACTCTTATATACAAATACCACTTAATCGATCCAAACAAACATTGTAACTCCGATAAACGTCTTAATCAAGATATGGCTTAATAGAAAAAAGTAAGCAACTCTTAGCATGTTTGGAAAATTATCAATACAAGCTTCACAGCTTTAAAAGGATCAGATCTTCTTAAAGAGATAAAAAAAATGGAATAAAATGTAGCAAAATATGATCAAATCACACATTTCAAAGAGTGTCTATATAATCAAAGAAAACTAAATATTTCATTCCGTTTTAAAGCCGATTTTTTCTCATTTGAAAGATCCATTAAAGTTCTAAAACTCATACTCGAAATGTACATATATCGGTCACTATATGTTTTTATTATTTACATACTTTTTACACCAAGAAGAGAGCAAACATTCTCAGAGTATTACGAAGTACTAGCTAGTGTGTGCTTCGAAATACTCTAGTGTACCAAATAGAATGGAGTATCATATGGAAGATGTCATACTTCTCTGGATTAAGATGCCAAATGAAATGTCTTTGTACACGCTTAACATTCTCATGCATCTCCATATACCTCTTTTCGGGAATTGATTCAAGTATGTTTTTGAGATTTGGAATATCCTTTTCGAGCACAAAAACCGCAAAGGATTCCCAGTTTAAGGTCTCAAGAAACGGGACAACAAAGTTGTCTGATATAATAACTGGAACACAATCATAGGAAATCGCCTCAACAACTCTGGGGCTATTAACCTCGTACCCTCTTGCACATATGCAGTATCTGCTATTCTTCATGTGTTTCATATACTGGCTCTTCTTCATGTGACCTACGATCTTCATGGAAGGGTCTTTGTCTTCCCAGAACTTGAGGAGAGTGGGCCGGACGTGGCCGTGCATCTGCCCAGCAAAGAATGCTAGGATACTCCTCTCAGAAGGCACTTTCCCTCCAATGTTTCTCATTGGATCTAGATTTGAATGCATATAAGTTTCTGGGAGAGAAGTGTCCTTCCCGAACAGGAAGCCCTCTCGTAGGTCAGCATTGCAGAGAGACTTTATGCAATTAGCCATGTGATGCCTAGTCTCCTCAGGAGCCTAACAAGGAAATAATTATGAATATAGAGTAGTTACGTTTGTAAGGTAATGCACATTGCATTAAGATCTCTTAACACCCTTATGGTTTGTTAACTCCCTTTGAGCCAACTAGCTACACTACTCAAAATAGGATGCATGCAATCATATTTTAGAAAGTTTGAATCAACTTATTCTTTTAATACGATTAAATAAGTCATATTTAGGGAATAAAACATTTCTAGTCCTATTTTGAAACTTTGTATATGTTTTAATCCTATATTGAACAATTTCTATAATACTAGTAGTGTTATAAAACTTTACCAGAAACAAAAACAAGTAAATACTTAGTGTCTGTGTACACAAACAAAAATGTTACACGGAGTCGGAGTTAGGTTGAAAAGAAACTAATCTCTGTATACCCAAACAAAAAATCATAAGTACATACATTTTTATCTATATATAGACATATAATGTCTGTATGCAGACATTGGTTTCCATGCAATCAAACACTGACAATTCTTCAAAAAAATGTGTAAATCAATACGATTTGCACACAAACCAATGTTCGTGTACAAATATCAGTTGTCTGTATACAAACAACAAATATATTTACCCACATGTTTTTTGTTTATGCCTAGATATTTTACAGACCCTAATTTTTCAATTTAATTTATTCACATGGACAAAGTTTGTCAAGCTTTAGAACGAAATAGACAACATTTTACTAATGGCACAAACAAAAATTTTGGCGACGTTTCTGGTGACTCCAACTCCAGTTATTTTTCCGATGAAAATCAGAGTTTACTAATAAGAAATGTATGTGGAGAAAAGAATGTGTGGGTATAGATTTTTTTGTCCTTCACATACAACTAATGTGTGTTTAAGGACATTGGTTTGTGTGCGACTCAATTCTGGCTTCTCGGCAAAAGAACCACGCAAATCGATGTGAATGACATGAACTTTTTGTATTTATACAAACAATATTTGTATGTAGCACAACTTTACAAAAGTTTACTCGTTTTTCGTTTTTCTTTTATTTTTGGGAAAACTGTCAAATAGGTCCTCGAACTTTCATAAAAAAGTCAATTAAGTCCTTCTATATGAGATTTTGTCGGATCGTCGCGATTTGGGGTGGTTCCCGGTGGAATTTTTTGATGAAATTTTTTGAGCATCTTATTCATCAAGTCTAGTTTTCTCATACCAAATTTCAGCTAAAAATTTAATCGAAAGCGCATTCAAATTAACCCGAGAACGCAAAAATGAGCAATTATCTTCAAGAATTAATTTGAATGTGTTTCCGGTTGAATTTTTAGCTGAAATTTGGTATGAGTAAACTAGACTTGGTGAATAAGATGCTCAAAAAATTTCATCAAAAAAGTCTATCGGGAACTGCCCCAAATCGCGACGGCCGGACAGAACCTCCTATAGAAGGACTTAATTGACCTTTTTATGAAAGTTCGAGGACCTATTTGACAGTTTTCCCTTTATTTTTCTACATACAAATTATACAAGTATTCAACATGAATCAAACAATATTTTAGAGCCAGCATAGACAATAATTTTGGCGATTGTTCATCTCCGATTTGGTTTTTCGATGACTCTCCATAAAGAGACCGCCGTAAACAAAATTCTTCTTCATCATCATTACCTACGGTGGGATGAGGGAGGGTCGGATGTACGCAGTTTTACCCCTGTTTCCGGATGATCCATAGTGAAATTCGCGTCGAAAATTGCATTGATTGACTGCTGCTTCATGACCAAGAAGCCCAGCCACTTTAATGAGTCATTTTGCTTTATTTCATTATATTCTCAAGTCAAAAAATAGTGAGTATTTGGCTCCATTGGAAATGGTGAAAATGCCGTAAACTAAAATTATTTTGGTAAAAAAATAGCTTTGTAAATTTTGGTAGTATTGTAAAACAAAAATAATGTGCCAATGATTTAAAAAGTATATGCTGCAAAATTGGATCAAATAACTATTAAAAAATGAATTTTAACTTATTGATGCAGTTCCGGCTAGTTATTTGTTGCGATTATGAGCTGCCGCAATAAGTTAAAATTCATTTTCTTTAATTAGCTATTTGCTTCGGTTCAGAACCGCAACATTTTTTTAATATTTGCAACGCTGCCATTTCCATCATTGGCAATGGAGCCAAAGACTCACTATTTTTTGTTTGGGAATATGATAGAATAAAGCAAAATGACTCACTAAATCGTCTGCGCTTCTTTGTTACGAAGCAGCAGTCAATTAATGCAATTTCTGACGCAATTTTCACTATGGGTCATCCGCAAACAGTCTCTTTGGCTGTATTGCAAAGGTAAGAATGCGTCCGACCCCCCCTACCCCACTGTAGGTGGGAGCCTTTGTGGCACTGGGGTATAGTAATGATGAATGAATGATATTTGTAATGCTACCAATTGATGTGGTTCATAACCACAACTAATAGATAAAAATGACCGTAGCCAATAGCTACTATTCTAGTAGTGCGATGATATAGATGGAATATGATGGATGTGAAAGTGATGAAAATGGAAGAGAAAGGAAAGACGAAAAGGGCCATATATATATTGTGCAAAGTGTGTACACAATACACCTAGCATTTTTTTAAAATTCTTTAGAGACAACGTTTTTTCTCTAAAAATCTTCATTTTATATTAAACATTTTACACATGCACCACACCTCACTAAAGTCATTTATTTTACTATATACAGGGTGTTTGGATCTACTTAAAATTGTTTCTGCTCCATGAAGGTGAAAGTGCAAAAGTACTCTTAAATACTTCAAATTGTTCCCAGAAGCAGTTTTTAAAAGTTATGGGAGACTAGCTTCTAAAAACTTATTATGATTCTATTTCTCCTAAAAAAGAAGCATTAACAGAATCATTTCTAAATACCCCATAAATGACCAACATTGTGTTGGGGAAAACATGACCCCCGACCTCTTTCAGAATCACATGCTCATAGGACACTTATACACTCACTCACACACTCTTAATACAAAGGCTCCATCTAACAATAATGCTTTGTATTACACAATTGAAATGTACAAGAGCTATTTTACAAGTAAACAGGTAGCTCACATCACTCTTTGAATATGAGACTGCTTCACTCTCACTCCCGTCTATCGAGGAGGCACTCACTCACTCAAGAGCTCTCCTCAAAAGCTCTCCTCAAGACTCTCTCTCATCACTTGAGGAGGCTCTCTTAAGGCCCTCTGTAAATTGTATAAGAAATGTTAGGATGGAATTCAATATTCTCAAATACTTTGTGAAATTCTAGAGAATTCTAGGATTGTGTGGAGATGAGTATAATTCTCTAGAATATTGTGGAGTTATCTACAAAAGTATAGTACTCTAGATGTGTGTAGAATGTTATAGAATCTTCTATAATACTATAGTCTCTAGAGAAATGTAGAAATCTCTAGATATATGTAGAAGATTGTAGAGTAGTCTAGAGTGTTCTGAATAAGTGTGAAATCATCTAGATTCTAAAATAAGATCATTAAAGCTTGTGGAGGCTTCTTGAAAGATTCTAGAATGTAGAAAGGTAGGAGGAAGATTCTAGAGAAAGTCAATCCCTACCCTCTGATGAGTAGTATATATAGATGTTGTAGCCTTTCATTTGTGGTATGAAAGAAAGGCTTCTCATAAGTGAGGAAGAGTGAAGTATTCTCAACCAAAAAAGGTGAAGTGAGATACTCGTTCATTTGTACACTCTCTTGTAAATTTCATTTATATAATACAAGAGTTTTCTTAGCTCGTGATCCTGGTAACGGTCAGGGTGTCGTGTTTTCCCCAACAGTGGTATCAGATCCAAGGTTCTCGGTGGTAGAGAGACGGGAGTATTTTCTCAGTGGAAAGATCTTGCGATAATGTGATGACATCAAACATGTCGAAAGTGTTTGAGATCCCATTCTTTGATGGGAAGACCAACTTTACGTTGTGGCAGAATACGATCCAAGACCTATTGGTGTAGCAATGTCTAGATCAAGTTCTAGATGAGGAGAAGCCTGCCTCCATGAGTGATGGAGAATGAAGCACGATTTAGAGGAAGTTTGTGAGTACAATCCGGTTGGCATTTGCTCCCGAGATTATGTTTAGTGTGTTGAAGGAGACAACACCGAAGGCATTGTGGGACAAGCTCGAGGGAATCTATGCATTAAAGTCACTAAATAATCGATTATGCTTGAAGATGGAGTTGTACTCACTCAAAATGCAGGAAGGATGTAATCTTTATAATCACATAAACATGTTCAATCAACTAGTATGCCAACTAATGAATGCAGATGACAAGATCAATGATAAGGAGCAGGCAATGTTGTTATTAGTGTCACTACCAAAATTCCTACAAACCATTGGTCCAAATTCTACTTATAGGATGGACTACTCTCACATTAGATGCGGTGACAACATCTTTGCGTGAGAGTAAAAGGATGCTAAAGAATGACAATGTAAACACAAGTGGAGATCGCATACTAGTTGTGGAAGAGCGAGAGCGGGGAAGAAACCTTTCAAAAGGGCAAGGTATCCTTAGATGGAGATCAAAGTCTCGACCACGCCAAGATCTAGAGAATTCTAGGATTGTGTGGGATGAGTAGAATTTTCTAGAATATTGTGGAGTTATCTACATAAATAGTACTTTCTAAATGTGTGTAGAATGTTATCGAATCTTTTAGAATGCTGTACTCTAGTCTCTAGAGAAATGTAGAAATATCTAGAAATATGTAGAAGGTTGTAGAGTACTATAGAGTGTTCTAAATAAGTGTGGAGTCATCTAGATTCTACAAGAAGATAATGTAAGCTTGTGGAGGCTTCTTGAAAGAATCTAGAATGTAGAGAGGTAAGAGGAAGATTCTAGAGACACTCAATCCCTACCCCATTTGTGAGTAGTATAAGTAGATGTTGTAGCCTTTCATTTGTGATATGAAAGAAAGGCTTCTCATAAGTGAGGAAGAGTGAAGTATTCTCAACTAGAAAATGTGAAGTGAGATACCCGTTCATTTGTACACTCTCTTGTAAATTTCAATTATTTAATACAAGAGTTTTCTTAGCTCGTGATCCTGGTAAAGGTCGGGGTGTCGTGTTTTCCCCGACACATTGACTTGCATTTTCTAACCAAACCAATCAAAATAAAAATTACTAAATAAACTTACCCAGTCATGACACGCCACAAGAAAATGGTCACCTCCACAAGTTCTGTTCCAGAAAGGGTACCTTCCTTTTATCAAGTTGATATAGCTGTTTAAGTACTCTATTAGGTTGGTATGTTTGTGAGACTCTGGCACGTACAAGGTATGCTCGAGATTATGTGAACCGAATGGAAGGTAAAATAGGTGTGCTATGTTGGGGTCCTTTGTTACGAATTTCGTTTTAGTTGTCAGTTGCTTCATGAACCAACCTTCTGAAGCATATATTCCTCTCAAATCAAATTCATGAAATATTGGTCTCTCTCCCTCCTCATAGACGTACACCTTCAATGTTTGCTCCATCAACTCGTAACTCCTGATTTTGATTTATTGAAAAAACATTAAAACATTAATCAAACTTCATAACCAACTAAAAAGAGTGCATGTGATGAAACAAACATTAATTAATTGGGTTCTTGAGTAGATTCGTAGCAGATAAACTTTCCGAAATCTGATGTTTCACCCTATAGTAGGAAATATTAAAATATCTCAAAACGTTGGACATTTCAAAACTGACACAGTTTTTAGACAATAATTGAACGAGCTAATTTGAGTATATTTCAAGAAGTAGTTTAGATTGACATATACTATACACATATTGTGGTGTACATGGTCATCTAATAAATTTGGAGGCGCTGATTTCAAATGGCGAAGAAACTCGAATCGGTCCGTCCCAAGAGCTTTTGTGAATATGTCTGCCACCTAGTTGGTTGTGGAGATATAGTGTGGGCAAACTTCATTGCTGGCAACCCGTTCCCGTACAAAGTAACAGTCCATTTCAACGTGTTTTGTGCGTTCATGGAAAACCGGATTAAGAGCTATATGGCGTGCTGCCTGATTATCACAGTAAAGTAATGTGGGCCTATGTTAAAGAATTGTGAGGTCTCGTAGTAGCCATCGTAACCATAAGATCTCACTGACTGTGACTGCCATGGCGCGATATTCTGCTTCGGCGGAAGAGCGGGAGACGACAGATTGTTTCTTTGTCCTCCAAGATATGGGTGACTGTCCAAGAGTGATAAAATAACCTGTGCTAGAACGTCGGGTAAAAGAGCATCCTTCCCAGTCTGCATCACAGTATGCAGTCAAGGTGACATCAATGTCGGATCCCAGAAAAATGCCTTGTCCCGGAGTAAGTTTTATGTAGCGAAGGACACGAATGGCGGCATCGAGATGGGTCTGTCTTGGTGCTCCGAGAAATTGACAAAGTTGGCTGACAGAGTAGACAATGTTTGGACGAGTGACTGTAAGATAGAGCAGACGGCCAGTCAATCTTCGATAAGAAGGTGCACCAACAAGTGGACTACCATCGTCGGGCGGAGCTTTAGATTCTGTTCCATGGGAAATGAACTGGGGCGTCCAGCGAGGACCCCACTTTTCTCTAGGATGTCAAGTGTATATTTTCATTGACTCAAGACAAATCCTTCAGGAGAGCGAGCAACCTCAATTCCAAGAAAATATTTTAAGTTGTCTAAGTCTTTGATGCTAAAAATGTCATTTAAGTAGGTCTTGATGGTTTTGATGTGTGAGATGGTGTTGCCGGCTAAGATGACATCATCAACATAGATGAGGGCAAAAGTATGAATTTGTCCCTTTTGAAAGATAAAAAGGGAGTGATCAGCCTGAGATTGTCTAAAACCGAATTTGATTAGGGCTTGTGTAAATTTATGGTACCAATTACGAGAAGCCTGTTTTAGTCCATATAGTGATTTTTGTAACTTGCAAACATGTGTGTCACAAAAAATTGGGTACACACCATGTTAAAAAATTGGATCAAAATTTGGGGAACATCAGATTTATTTTTTTATTAAATAGAGCCACACAGCTCTAGTGAAATCATCCACTATGGTTAAAAAATAACGTGCACCAGAAATTGAATCACAATGATATCCTCCCCAAATATCACAATGTATTAATTCAAAACAGCGAGTTGTTTTAATAGAACTAATGGGAAAGGGTAGACGAGTCTACTTAGCTCGTATGCAAGAATCACATAAATTATTGCTCCGTCCTAATCCCTGAAGAAAACCAATATGATGCAATTGCTTGTCTGAAGCATATCCCAAACGTTGATGCCATAAATTGAGATTAGCGGATACTGACATTGCCAACCCCTCAACGCTCATGATTCCTGATGGATGGTCTACCCGGGGGGTGTCTTATCCGAGGAGTTATTGCGGGAATAACCAGTGAGAAGTCAGAGCAAAATAGGAGGAGAGAGAGTCGATTTATTAAATGAACTCTGCGTGTGAGATCTGGGATCGTTTACAAGGAGAAATGGGCTGCTATTTATAGCAGCAATAAATGCGATGAGAGTACATGTGTCAACAATCCAACGGCCGAGGGGTCACATCACTCGGGTGGCACCGGCAGTGGCATGTTCACCGCATTGAATGCGGTTGGTGGATGCGACGTCGCATTAAATGCGGTGGTTGGCTGTCTCCAAAGGGAATCTTCGATGATTGAGTTAGTTTATCTGAGGGCTCTTCATGCAGCCGAGGGCTTCGTGCAGCCGAGGGCTCTGTGTAGTCGAAGGCTTGGTTCAGCCGAAGGCTTCACGGATGCCGAGGGCTCAACAGTGCCGAAGGCTCCTGTTTTCCGCCGTTTTCTTCCAGTAACTTTGTACGCTCAAAAAGTTCATGCTGTGAGTTCTGGAGCCTCCGGCCAAGGAGGCCGAAGGCACCCCAGTGTGTACTTTGGGTTTCCATGAACTTGGGCCGCTGTATTTTGGGCTTTGGACGCTCCTTGGACTCGATGGGCCTTTGGGGGAGAAGTAGGAGTCTATGGGCCGGGGGTTCCTGGGCCATATACTCCATCAATTCCAAATAATACAGTTCGTCATGGCACTGACCCACTCCAATCAGCTTCCTCGAGAGTAAATCCTGTAAGATACACAAATCATTAAAAATTGTGAGTGTGCAGTTGAAATCACTTATTAGGCGATTAACTGAGAGCAAATTGCATTGGAATTTCGGAATGTATAAAACTCGTTGGAGACTAAATCCTTTGAATAGATCCAAACTTCCAACAGCTTGGACATGAGCTGTGTCACCATTTGTAATTTTGACGGATGATATTGAAGCATGTGTTTGTATGTCAACGAGACCATCATTATTATAAATAATATGTTCACTTGCTCCAGAGTCTATTATCCAATATTATTCAAGGAGCAGCTTGTAGCCTCTCCTTGAATTTTTTTGGATAATAGACCCCGGGGCAAGTGAACATATTATTTGTAATAATGATGGTCTCGTTGACATACAAACACATGCTTCAATATCATCCGTCAAAATTACAAATGGTGACACAACTCATGTCCAAGCTGTAGGAAGTTTGGATCTATTCAAAGGATTTCGTCTCCAACGAGTTTTATACATTCCGAAATTCCAATGCAATTTGCTCTCAGTTAATCGCCTAATAAGTGATTTCAACTGCACACTCACAATTTTTAATGATTTGTGTATCTTACAGGATTTACTCTCGAGGAAGCTGATTGGAGTGGGTCAGTGCCATGACGGACTATATTATTTGGAATCACGAGCGTTGAGGGGTTGGCAATGTCAGTATCCGCTAATCTCAATTTATGGCATCAACGTTTGGGATATGCTTCAGACAAGCAATAGCATCATATTGGTTTTCTTCAGGGATTAGGACGGAGCAATAATTTATGTGATTCTTGCATACGAGCTAAGTAGACTCGTCTACCCTTTCCCATTAGTTCTATTAAAACAACTCGCTGTTTTGAATTAATACATTGTGATATTTGGGGAGGATATCATTGTGATTCAATTTCTGGTGCACGTTATTTTTTAACCATAGTGGATGATTTCACTAGAGCTGTGTGGCTCTATTTAATAAAAAAAATAAATCTGATGTTCCCCAAATTTTGATCCAATTTTTTAACATGGTGTGTACCCAATTTTTTGTGACACACGTGTTTGCAAGTTACAAAAATCACTATATGGACTAAAACAGGCTTCTCGTAATTGGTACCATAAATTTACACAAGCCCTAATCAAATTCGGTTTTAGACAATCTCAGGCTGATCACTCCCTTTTTATCTTTCAAAAGGGACAAATTCATACTTTTGCCCTCATCTATGTTGATGATGTCATCTTAGCCGGCAACACCATCTCACACATCAAAACCATCAAGACCTACTTAAATGACATTTTTAGCATCAAAGACTTAGACAACTTAAAATATTTTCTTGGAATTGAGGTTGCTCGCTCTCCTGAAGGATTTGTCTTGAGTCAATGAAAATATACACTTGACATCCTAGAGAAAAGTGGGGTCCTCGCTGGACGCCCCAGTTCATTTCCCATGGAACAGAATCTAAAGCTCCGCCCGACGATGGTAGTCCACTTGTTGGTGCACCTTCTTATCGAAGATTGACTGGCCGTCTGCTCTATCTTACAGTCACTCGTCCAAACATTGTCTACTCTGTCAGCCAACTTTGTCAATTTCTCGGAGCACCAAGACAGACCCATCTCGATGCCGCCATTCGTGTCCTTCGCTACATAAAACTTACTCCGGGACAAGGCATTTTTCTGGGATCCGACATTGATGTCACCTTGACTGCATACTGTGATGCAGACTGGGAAGGATGCTCTTTTACCCGACGTTCTAGCACAGGTTATTTTATCACTCTTGGACAGTCACCCATATCTTGGAGGACAAAGAAACAATCTGTCGTCTCCCGCTCTTCCGCCGAAGCAGAATATCGCGCCATGGCAGTCACAGTCAGTGAGATCTTATGGTTACGATGGCTACTACGAGACCTCACAATTCTTTAACATAGGCCCACATTACTTTACTGTGATAATCAGGCAGCACGCCATATAGCTCTTAATCCGGTTTTCCATGAACGCACAAAACACGTTGAAATGGACTGTTACTTTGTACGGGAACGGGTTGCCAGCAATGAAGTTTGCCCACACTATATCTCCACAACCAACCAGGTGGCAGACATATTCACAAAAGCTCTTGGGACGGACCGATTCGAGTTTCTTCGTAACAAGTTGGGTGTTCGAGACCTACACACTCCACTCCGAGGGGGAGTATTGAATATTATAGTTATATTTTATTTCCCTTCGTGATTGACATATACCAATGTCCATATGCATGCACATGCACATGCTAGACATTTCATCTTACGTAGTAAATACACATGGTAGGATTTGTGACATGCAAAGTACCACATACCACATGTAAGCACATGCAATGTTCTTTCCTCTCACCTAGGATTGCTACTCACTCTACGGCATATATATCTTATGTAACATACAGTGCCAGACTTGAATAATACTACGTATTTCCCAAAGAATACTTTCACTTTCTTTCACTTTCAATTTATTATATATTTCTACATTTATGAATTAATACTATTTTTATCACCCTAAACCCTTAATAGATGTATTAATGTAGCTCCTGTAGGATGTGTATTCGTCGTGTAATTAGATCCATATGGTTGACCATTTTGGAGAGAAGTAGATCCATAACAAATGAAAAAACGCCCGAAAATGAGGATGTTTTTAATTGGATTTATTCTAGTCTCACACTAGATCATACTAGATTTGAATAAACCAGATCAGATCAGACCAACTGTTCATCAAGGAATCTTAACTCCATCAAAGAGGGTAACTTTTATTGAAGGGTGAAACCCCTTGGGTTTTCTGGTGTCGTATAATTCACACTCGAAATCCATCTTTTTCCTAATTTTCTTCATTTCAACGAGTGAACTTGAAGAATTAATTTCGCATTCACACATTATCCGTTTTGAGTGTACCACATATCGAATTGAAGCTCTTAACAAAGAGAATCTGAAACTACTTTGACCTGATTCAAATCGGAAGTGGGACCCACTCAAAATTGTGCTCCCAACATTTAATGTGATTTTAATACATTTTTCCGTTCGACACTTCAGCGTGATGGGTTAGTTCTAGCCAGTATGGTGTACATATAGATCCATCACGTTTGGCTGATTGAGATATCTAATACTCCCATTATTCCAAAATAATACTCCATAATTACATATTTCTTTTTCAAATTGTTCCAAAATATATACTACGTATATTTTTATTGGCAAACGAGCCCACGTAATAATAAACTAATAATAACCTACCGTTCACACTTAGTATTTTTACTTGAACTGGAACTTGGTGAGGTCTAATCTGAACTGATCTGGTATAGTAAATGTCTGGTCTGTATATTTTATAATTGTCCAGTTTGATCTGATCTAATGTAATCTGATCTGGTCTGATCTAGAACTCAAAATAGTCCAAGTGAAAACATTCTAAACCTTTCATTTTACCGCCTGCATATAGAATTTTAATATTTTAACTTTTTAATTTTTTTAATGAATACATACATGACAGTTTAAAATTTTTATATCGTGTTCTTAATCTACAAGCTCAAACAAAATGTCATAATTACAAGTTCTCATTTTGACTTTATGATTCTTAAGAAAGTTAAATTTTTTACTTTTAATTGTCACATTATAATTTTATAGAAGTTTTCACGCCTACTATTAAAAGCTAGAATTTGGCTACCTTTCTATTCATGAAGCAAGAGTTAAAAATGGGTGGAATAAAAAGATGGTGCAAGGAAGGATAAATTAAATTAGGGTATGAGAATTATTTAATAATAAAAACTTACCTTAAAATGAAAATGAGAGATCTAGTTTTGAATTTCTCAAAGGGAAAAGTGTGAACTTATTTATTTGAGAATATATGGAGGAAGTACAAGGTAACTTTTTCTTGTGTTTTCAAGCGAATTGTCGTATATGTTTTGTTAAATGCCAACATCCTTGATTAGGATGACTAGGATGTTAGGATGTTTTTATTTGGACTGTAATTTGTCCCAGACCAGACCAGATCAGTTCAGACCAGACCAGACTTGGATAGTTATAAAAATACAAAGAAACCAGACCTTACCAGACCAGACCAGACCAGACCAGACCGGATCAGACCAGACCAGACCAGTCCAGACCAGACCAGACCAGTTCAGACCAGACCAAACCAGACTTGGATAGTTATAAAAATACAAAGAAACCAGACCTTACCAAACCAGATCAGACCAGTTCAGACCAGACCAGACCAGACCAGCAAATTACAGTCCAAGTAAAAACATCCTTATTCAACAACAAAGTAATTAAAATGTAAAGTTAACCATGTAGCCTATTCTAAATTAATAATTCCTTGAAAAAACGATAATTAACATGCATACCTTTTGAACTTGGAAATGTCCCGGTAAAGAGGGGTGAGCACGTCGTCATCATCTTGATCACTTTCTACATTTTCAATCTGTGATTTGGCATCTAACAGTTCTTGGTCAACAACAGAAGGCCACTGTTGTTTCTGAAAATTAAAATAAAGATTCAACATCACTAAAAGTCTAAAACTAAAAAAGGGTTAAAGGCAATGTATATTCTCAGCTCCGTAATTGACACTCTAAACTTTATTTGAATAAGAAAACATCCTTACAATAAGAAGGTATGACGATGTATTTTGAAACGACGTAGTTTTCATCTCCGAGTACGAAACCACTCTCATTCTTTTACGCTTCAAGGACATCGTTTTCACCATCAGATTTTCGCACGAAAGACTGCCGTTGGTTGGCAATCTCTGAGCAATGGTTGCATTCTTGTTTACCGTCGCTTCTCCGGGGCCAGGAGATATAGCTGCAGAAGTTGCTAAGGGTAAGTACCAGCACATTGTTAGAGTGTAACACAATTGTTAGGAAAACTCGGATGTTCCTATTTCGTGAAGTTAAGACAGACACTTGGAACTTTTAAATAGTAATGAGAGCAGCGAGTTAATAACTTTTCCTATACGGAGATTCTTCCACTATAGGATTTAGACTTCTTCAAAATTCTCCCGAACATTTTAGAATATAAAGTTCTAGAATTTCTCCAATTAATGAGGGATCCACCAAAAATAAATAAAAATGATGAACTAATAAGACATTGAGTGACCCAATCTGTTAATATAGTTTGACTCAAGTGTCTTATAGTTCCAGCAGCTGATTTAACATTTTAACCAAACCCAATCTAACACAAAAGACAAACCCAATATATAATTAATAATACTAACCGTTTGAAGTTGTGTATGGAACCCTTCCAGGTTCATGAGGCAAAGGAGAAGGTGAAACCATTGGGTCCAATGTTACATATCCAATCTCTGAAGTTTTGCCCATTTCGGGCGATATGGTTGGATCACCCGAGTGATCATGTTGATCCGGGTCGGGCTTTGAATTAACAAAGTTAGTACCATTCCTAGAATTTTTAATTTCCTTCACATGAGTCATTTGGTATGTTTCATTCCCTGTGATTGAACTCCCCCACCATCCAAATTTCTTGAGAGAAAGGAAAGATTCTGAAATGGTTCCATACGGAGCTTTAAGATATTGAACCATTATAATCATTCCAAACAGCCCTCCAACTATCCATATGTGTCTCTTTCTTTTAGACTTGAATACTAGTGGGCAAAAATCAAAATCCCTCATCATTTTTGCAAGAGAAGAAAAAGGGAAATATAATGTAGTTGAAATACCAAATTAAAATGGAATAGAAAACAAATTTCAAAGGGGTTTTATATTGCATCCATGATTCCATATATGGTAGACATGAATGCCTTGACTGCCGCTATGACGTTTTTGGGTGATGTAATGTGACATATTTTAAGGAGACTTTAAGACCATGTCTTCAACAAAATATTCCTCATTCCCAAATAAACATGTTTTTAAATGGATCACAGGTTTCAATAATGGACCTTGGACCATACCGAACAAGACTTAGGGGTTGTTTACTTTTTTGTCAAGTCTTATCTGGATTAAATGTCTATCTGAATTAAGATGTCACTTTGGATTAAGTAGTATATGTATGTGAAATTATTTACTTTTTGTGCTGAATAGATTGTCTGAATTGAGTAAAATAATCAATTTAATATTATTTTTGAGTTGTAAAGCCAATAAGATCATTTATTAACATAAATCTATTTCATAATTGATTAATAAAAATAACAGAAAAGACGTTTATTTCAGTTTAATAATAAGTCTATTTTTTGTATGAATGATTAAGTCGCACTTTCAATTAAGTCGTAAGTAAGCATGACTTAATGGCTGAACGATCAAGTCATTGTTCAAATTAACTCCATTTAGTTCACCAGATCTGATCAGGTCAAAATAAACTTCGACAATTATGAAATACAAATAGAACGGACATCTATTAAATCAAGCTAGGAGAGATTTAAATAGACGGGATCAAATTAAAAAACTATTGTCGACCTAACACAGAATATAATGTATCACAATTACCATCTATATCCTCCACATGAAAAAAATGGCATCACGTACACAGAATATAGTCAGCACATTTTTAGGGTCCTCTCCATCATGATCTTAAATTTTAATTACTTTTTTTTACCATTAAATTTTAATTACTTTTTGGTCCGTTTCTACTCTTAAGAGTAATACACAAATAAAAATAACTTTTTTACATTTTTCTTACTTCTTTCACAACCCTTTAATCAATTATAGAATGTGTTCACATGTCAACATCCTTAAATCCTAATTGTCCCTTTTGTTCATCTTTCTAGAGTGCTATTTTTCATCTTCTTTGTTGCTAAAAATGTCTCAGAAATGCTCTAAAGCTCATTAGAGCGGTAATTTATTCCCTAGTGTGTCTAGGTTCTTGTTATCCTATCAATTTGACAGTCATTTTATGAGCAGTTTCCTGCTCAAATTAGCGATACGACGTGCTACAGAATGTGATATTCTTGTTTAATTAATTGCTATTGAATGTGTTCTTCTAGTCGCAGATCTACATATCTCATGTGTCATTTTTTTCTCAAATCGTCTATGAAAATGGTTCGTTCCCCTCAAGAACCACCACCATTGATTGATTGGAGTGGTGGTTCTATATTTTTATTAGACTAGTATGTTTTAGATAGGAATAAAAGCCATGCATTGAAGTCCTGATGCACGCGACATATCTGCATGTCCATTGGAATCCAGCGAGGATGATACGACGACATGATTGGACAAGGATAACTAGTTTTAATTGTATTTACAATTTCATTTAAGTAAGCCTTTCTTATTATTTCTTGTTGTACATTTGTTTTGAATTTTTTAGAAATATTGTAAGTTTTTCATATCACGTTAGATGCATAGAGATTGGCATAATCAAATTAAGCTTGCATTTATTCGTCACATGGTTAGCAACTTATGTGACACATTCGTGGATGGCAAAGTCTAAGTCTAATCGTTGATCTTCTGATTGAGACTGGTATTATCTTGAGTCTATTGTAATGATATATGTTTGATTTATTAATTTCAATCTCCAGTCTATTGATATATGTTAGATGCATAGAGATTGACTATACTTTATTTATTAATGTATGAAAATTAATTATTATTATTATTATTATTATATATTGAAAAATATTGTTGAATTCGTTTTGTGACGAATTTTCATAATCTGATGTTTTTTACTAATAGAGTTCTAAATATAATGACAATCAAAGTTGTGTGTTGACAATCATGAAAATATGTTGCATTAAAAAAAGAACGGATGAAGCATATACTTTAATCATCAAACAATTCCTTTTACGAATCAATTCTGTGTAACCTATGCAAAGCGCGGGTGCAATAGCTGAATTAACTTACAAATAGTAGTGTATTGTGAGCAATGAGAAGGAAATGACAAGTTATGGTTGCAAAGGATCCACGCTTTGATATCAAATAGATAAAATGATAAATAGTAAAAGCATGTTGAATAATTGAAGAATTGATTTCACGATTAGTTCTACGGGCATTATGTTAATCTCACATTTAGCCCACATCTCTAGTTTTGCGGTTTTGCCCATTGTATTATTTTTTATACACGACTATTATTTATTGATATTCCTGGAACATAAAATGACCAAAGAGGTGTCGAAAGTTTAGACGGAAAGAGGTACCACAGATGAGTAAGAAACAATAGGCATGTACTAAAAGCAGGGGCGGAGGTGGAGGGTGGCCAACCGGGCCACGGCCCGGTCCAACTCTTACTCCTGACTACGCCCCTTACTAAAATTTGGCAAAAATTAAAACATGTATCAACAATGAGATTGACAAAATATTGGTATGATCGAAAGTAAAATTAATTTACAATCAAATTATTGTGTGTCTGGTCAAAAGGTGAGAGTAAATATAATATCCTATCTATAAGTGATGAACTACTAAGTTGTAAATATAAATAAAGAAAAGATTACCCTAATGTCATTAATTACAAATACAATCTAAGTAGAAATAGTAACAAGGCAGAACTATAACTTACTTAAAACAATTATTGGTTCTTATTATCAAAAAAGTGTTGAAAATCACACGCACGCATATATATGTGTATATATATATATATATATATATATGCACCCGGTAATGGAACACCTATATCAATCACATTTATGAGTCGTTATGTGTTTTATACTTTTATATATGTACTTGGGTCTACATCCGATTACTAGTGTGTGGTTCGGAAAACTCGAGTATACCAAATAGAATGAAGAATCATATGGAAGATATCATACTTCACTGGACTAGGATGCCAAAGGAAATGCCTTTGAACACACTTAACACTCTTATGCATCTCCATATACCTTTTTTCGGGAATCGATTCGAGTATATTCTTGAGATTCGGAATATCCTTCTCAAGCAAGAAAACCGCAAAGGATTCCCAGTTTAACGTCTCGAGAAACGGGACAACAAAATTGTCAGACAAGATAACGGGAATGCACTCATAGGAAATTGCCTCGACTACCCTAGGACTATTGACCTCGTAACCTTTGGCGCAAATGCAATATTTGTTGTTCCTCATGTGCTCTATGTACTCTGTCTTCTTAACCTCACCGAAAACTTTTATGTCGGGATCTTTGTTTTCCCAGTATTTTAGGAGAGTGGGGCGGACGAGACCATGCATTCGACCTGCGAAAAATGCGAGAGTGCTCCTCTCTGAAGGCGAATTTCCTCCAAAGTATTTCGCCGAGTCCTGATTTGAATGCATATACGTTTCTGGGAGAGAAATGTCCTTCCCTAACAAGAATCCTCCTCCTAGGTCAGCATTGCATAGGGATCTTATGCAATTTGCCATTTGCAGCCTTGTTTCCTTAGGAGCCTAATAAGGATATGAGAATATAGCACATACGTAAGATAATAAAACATAGGAAATGTTTTAAAATAGAACTAAATACGTTTTCTTCTCAAGTTACAATATACGGAGTATATAACTCTATTAAATAGAAAAATTACTACTCCGTATGATTTACTCTTACTTCAGAAAATATTCTCATAATAATGTATACACAGTGTAATCAAATTATATATTGAACACGCCAATATGCTCACTACGATATGGTTTACTGTTTTCAAAATCCATATATATGGTTTACCAACTCAGTTGACTCAACCACAATGATAAAAAACAAGTTTTTAATTCCTCCTTGAAAAAAATACTAAAACCATATACTAATATTAAGAGGTTACCAATGGCACCGTAATATATATAATATATAATAAATCCTTGCATTTTCCTACTCGATCATTTTGTTTTGAACTAATCCATATTTAAAAAATCAACAAATAAACATACCCAATCATGGCACGCCACAAGAAAATGATCGCCACCACATGTTCTATTCCAGAAAGGATATCTTCCCTTTATCAAGTCGACATAGCTATTAAGATACTCTATTAAGCTGGCAGTGTTGTGAGATCTTGGCACATACAAGCTCTGCCGGAGATTATGTGAACCGAATGGTAGATAAAATAGATGTGCTTTATCGGCGTCCTTCGTTACAAATTTTGTGTTGGTTGTCAGTTGCTTCATGAACCAACCTTCTGAAGCATATATTCCTGTTAGCTCAAATTCATGAAATATTGGTCTCTCTCCCTCCTCATAAACGTATACCTTAAGATATTTCTCCATCAACTCGTAGCTCCTGCTCGAAGTTCATTAATTCAAATCATATGAAAATTCATAATCAACCACATATAATAAGATTCAAAACTTAAAACTTAATTCTGCACTAGAGTAGTATTGTAGAGCATCAGAGCTCACATTTCAACTTCCTTGAAACTTGAAATACTTGTCTAATTCTCGTTTCAAATAACATCAAATTCTCGTTTATCTTTTCAACAATTACAAAAAATGCAACACACTTTTCACTAATCAATTTTGAAATTTTAAAGGAAATATCAATACTTTGAGCAACATATGTGTTGGTGTGTTCACACAATTCCCAACATAAGATTGTTACTCACTTGAAAATTGTTTGGCATAGCTTAACCTGAGACTAAGTCATATTAAGTGTTAGATTTTGTAAAACTCACAAAAATGTATGTCAATCAAGCCTCAACTTGTAAAAGAAGATGTATCACCTAAAGTGTGGTACAAAAGGCTAGCACCCATGTGTGAAAGGGACTCGTATCTCTTTCAAAAAAGAAGTCTATTTAAATTGTTAAAGACCTGCCTTATACCTCTTCTAGCACTGCCTATTTGAGGAAAACAAAGAGTTTTCTCTTGTTCCAAAA